GGTTTACTTCTTTTCAGGAACATGTATTAAGGAGTATTTTCGTCCCTCTGCAGCCGTCCTGCTCGGCGGGAAGAGCAGAGACGTGTCCCCGGCGCTTTGCGTCAAGGCCTGCAGCCCGGTCGTCCGACAGATCCAGACGTCCTCGATGTGAAGAGGACGCGAGGGGAAGAGAAAACTCTGTGTGACACCGACGGGGGGGGAGGGAGGCCGAGGCGACGGCCGCATCCAAGTGTCAGCGTCCCGAAATAACGGCGAGCGACGACCAGACTGAAGACACCAAACAAACAACAGCTCTCAGATCGAGTAAACATCGGCTAGCGCACGAAGACGCGACAAACTGTGAAGCCTCCCTCTGTCTTCCGGTGCCGTTAATCAGAGCCGCGGAGAAAGCGATCGGAGGGGACACCCGTCCTATTAGAGGAGGCCCGATCTCCCCTCCGCCGACCGGGGTCCTCGCAAACACTTCAAAAAAAAGAAACGTTGACAAGCTCCCTCTGTGCAGCGCTGTGTGGACACAGAGGACAGAGTCTCGTCTCCAGCAGATGTCTTGTGGCGCCGACTATAAATAAAGCCAATGAGACCAGCCGGCCGCTGACGAGCACAAGCCGCCGCGAGGCCGTGTTAGCTTTTGCAAAGGGCCTGTCTGGTCTTGGCATGGCAGGCGGGCTAACATTTGGCGGGCCGAAGCCTGTGATGCCTGAGAGCTTTGTGTTCGGGGAAAATATAGACTGTGGCCTCCGAGGTTTGAGCTTTTATCGAAAGTTTCATCAACCCAGGAAGGTAGGTGGGAGAGAATCTTTCCCACTGAATCCAAGTCAATGTGTCTCTACATATCCTGTCCAGTATCGTTATTTTACACATTTAGGAGGAATCTTGGCGACATCTGGGTTTTCTACGTGTAGGAGAATCTGGAGACATGACACCTTCCATGTTTTTGCTTCCTCGCTGGATTACAGTGAAAGAAAGCATTGTTTTGTTCTTGCTGCCATCTTTTGCAGTTAAACAGAAGCCATAAAATCCTGTTTGTTTAACAGAATAAGGAAGCAGCAGCCACCAACATTAAAACAACCTCAATATCCTCCAACAGAGAGGTACATTAAAGGACAATTCAACTTTTTAAGCAGTTTGTGCATCATCTTTATCAGTTGCAACAATTGTGGGGTTATTTTTTGCTGTTGTTTGGTGGTAAAGGCAAAACCAGAGGTATAGAGAAGCAGATTATGTCACATTTCCCCAAGACCTGTAATAAATTTGTGAACAAAAAGTTTACATACACTTGTAAAAATCACGTTTATCATCTTGGGTCCTGCAACTCATCATTTCTGAACAAAAAAAGAATCTGTGCTTCCAAGTCCATGTTTCTCTGCGTACACACTAATCTTGCGCAACACGTTCTGATCTAGATTTTCTACATGTTGGAGAGTCTGTACAATAGGAGGCCTGCATCCCGGAAGCAAAAACATGGGTGCAGGTGTCATTTCGTCCTTGGTTTAGCATGCGTTTACCATCGGCGAGAAGAATGTGTTTACCAGCAGTCAGAGGAGCTCCCCAGTGCAGCTTTGTGTGTCATTGATGACCCTGACAATCCCAAAGGACGTCAGTAGCCCCGAGGCCTGTCTGTCTCTATTTAAACCGGTCTAACAACGTCGGGTTTGGAAAGGAGAGACTTCCACTTGCCAAGGCAGCGCAGCCGGCTGCAATTAAGATGTAACATGGTGCTGTTGTATCGCACGTTTCGTTGTAGGAAGCACCCAAAGAAAATATCCAGAGTTGATAATCATTACGAATGGGATATTTTTTAAGACGGTGTACAAAAAAAAAAAAAAAAATGGATTCACAAATCACCTGCTGCTTTTACAAGAAACATTCAGAGTCTAAGTACTTTCATTTCATGTTCCATTACACGGCGCCCAAGTGCACAATTACATCGAGGCGCGTTCGTCTGCGTTAAGTCTGACAGAAAAATGGAGGACGGAGACTCGGAGGGACGAGCCGACGACATATTGTCACCGTGAATCAGCGAGGAGTCGGAAAGAAGGAAGGTGGTGGAGCAGGAGGAGACGAGTTGTCCTCATGGAAAACCTTCGTCAGAGTCTCTGCACAGGAACAGCCTGGTTTTTAATCCTTTTATTGTGAACTGCTGGACCGATGCTTCCTTAAAAAAAACACAAAAAAACATGAAACTCTCCCCTCGACCCAGTTTTCTGATACACAACATGCAATCAGAGGGGATCTTTATCATTAATTTAACTTAAACTTTCTCTTCTCAGCATCTAAAGGTTAAAATCAGACGTTATCAACACCGTCTCTCATGTTCAGATGTGTTCAGCTTATTTTAAATAACAGATTTTTTATTGCTTGAACGGGAAATTTACAGCAGCACAGTGCAGAAATATAGAAACATCAGCGTAAAAATAAAGATCCATCAATATTGTATGGATTCTTCTACATGTAGAATGTCTAGATGTTGCTCAGATTCCTGTGAATGTGGAAAATAACACCTTTAAGTTTATTATTGTAAATATATCTGTATGTATTAGATGCAAACAGAAAAATAAGCACTGTTTCTGAAGTTGTTTGTTAAATGAGACAAAACTTGTGTAATTACTGAAGTTTTCACAGCAAAAAGTACTGAATAAATGTGTTTTCATGTATTAGCATTAATAATCGTTCCAATCATTTGTCACTCTGTCCATCTATATCATTTTATATTCACTTTATTGGGGACCTGACATTTAATTTCCCACATTTCTTCCCTGAACCTCCAGTTTCACCTTTATTACCAAACAACAGCAAAAAATAATCCCAAAAATGTTCTAAGTGATAGAAATGATGCACAAACATGACATAAAGAAACTGAAATTAACTGAAATTGTCCCTTGATTGTAAACTGGGGGATGCTGAGCTTGTTTTAATGCTTTATTAACAAGGATCACAGTTTATCCAAGACAATGTTAGTGGCTGCTGCTTCTGTATTCTGTTAAAAAATTAGATTTTTATGGCCTCTGGTTAACGGGAAAAGATTGAAACATGAACAAACTTAAAGTAGAATTTAAGAGATCAATTTAATTTTCAGTGTTTTTCAAGTGGAAGAATGGTTACGTGTTCTACAACTGATCAGTGATTCATAAAAAAAGGAAGAAATATTGTGCATATTCTCTCTATGTTGCCATATTTTGCCTCTCTACTATCAACACTATTTGTAGTAAGTCGCTGCCAGCCACAGAATTAATTAATAAGTCGGGCAGCGACAGCAGCAGCAGGAGATTCTTATTGTTTGCCCTTGCATGCACGAGCTACTGTCTTAACTTGGCATGGCAGCTGACACTTTGCCAGAGTGGATGTGCTGAGAGGTGCATTAGAAGTGATAATGAAGAACACACTTCCACTCGAGAACGAGGCAATTAAAAGTGGGGTGTAAACAGCAGAGGGAGGACTGAGTGTGACTTCCCTCCTGAGGGAAATCCACCAACATCCCTCTCACACCTGAGAGAGGTCCGCGGCCAACACTCGCTCTGACGGCGATTCCTGATGACAGTGTGCGACGGGAGGATGTAAAACAGTCACGCAGTGCAGCAGGATGACAGCCGGGAGGCCGAGAGCTGCTTCGAACGGCCCACGTTCACCACGAAGTGCACCTGCAGATGCCACAGTACAGTAAAGTTTAGATTTATCAGTCGCCTGACCTCGAAAGAAGCCTGTAGGGCTGGAGGAAAGACAAGACAGAGACAGAGCCGGGCAATGTCACTCAAATGTTATGATTTAAAAATGTATCACCACTAATTTATCTGCATGTATTCTAGATAGTAGTTTTTCCTCTTATGAGCAAGTAAAAACAAACACTTTAGACGACTACATTGGAAAAAACAGGCCCCAAAATAGAAAGTCAGTGCAACAAAAGTGAAATAGAAAATCTGTGATCACTAAAACAAAACTCAGTGCAACTTTTGATTCCCAATCAGCCTGAACTGAACATACTCTGACCATTTGTTCAAGTGTGAAAATATTATTATTGTTTTTAAAATACATTTCTTGTCCAATAATTTAGAATCTTAAAGATAACTTAAAAATCTTGGAGAATTATTGTAATATTTAATTTTATTATAAATATTTTAGCGATAACAATAATATCATGAATAGTAATGTGAATCTACATAGCTCAAGATTTTAAGTTATCTTTAAATTTCTTTTCTAATATCTTAATTGTTTTTAATTTAAAAAAAAAAAAAGCAGGATTCCCAGAAGTACAAACAATGAAGATGAAGTAAAAACAAAAAGACAACAGATTAAAAAATTGCAAAACATACATTGTCAATATAAATAAATACAAGTACATATACTAAGTACAGTAATTAAAAACATCAAAACATTGATAATAAAATCAAGTCACGGATGAACCAAGGTGCTTCCTGGTCGACAAAATAAGATTCGCTTTATGAACAAGTTTAAATAAAACATTTCGAACCTACAATATTATATACTTTTACCATAATAATTTAAATATCACAGTTAGGACCCTTCAATATTATACAAAATATAAGTTTAGCTGACTGAATTAACACAAAGGTTAATACCCTACAATATCATATGGTCTAACAAATTGTCTGACTAATTTAGAATATTAACTTAGGTTAACACTCACCAAAATTGTACGTGGAAACCCCAATAAATGCCATTTTTGGCCATTATAGTTAAATATAGGTTGTGGCAATGCAGTTTTATTTCCCTAATAATTGCTTAAATTTCTGTATTTGTGGAAGATTTTTTGCTGCCAAATATTCCTTAAATTAAATAAGAGAAGAATGATTAAAAAAATATATGTAGTTGTACAATAAAACCTTAAATTAAGGTTCAGTAATTAACATTTTTGGGGAGTTTTCAACAGGAATTTGGCTCTGGGGCTTTGTTGTTTTTTATTTACTCAGGCAGTGTTTGGGCTCACTGGTGGGGTCCTTTACTGATGACGTCGGCGGAGACTCCGAAGATGTTGTAGCTGAAACTTGTTAATATTCCGTCATTTATTTTTTTTAAAGTTAATATTAACACATGTTGACAGATGCGTAGCTCGTATTACAAACCGCAAAATGGCTCAAACTGCACGTACACAAAACTAAAAGGTGAGTTTCTTTCAGTTATCTGCTCTCATCAAAGCTACATGTTAGCTAGCTTCGACTAGCCTGTTGAGGTAGCTGTAATTAGCCACCAGCTGCCAGACCGCTTTTAGAATTCTGCTATTTTAGAATTGCGTTGGATTACGACCGTAAAAATCACCCATGCAGCTCTACTTGAAATAGTTCCTTGTCAAATTGCTTCTTTTGGAAAATTCGGCGTATAGAAATAGTAAAAGAAAGCTCGTTGTGTTAGAAAAATCTCACATTTAAGCCCGGTGATACAGCACTCGCCACCAGCCATCTCCAGTGTTACATTACCTGTAAATATAGCGTTAGCCAGCTGTAAACTGGCAGCTGACGACTTGAAGTAGGGTCTTATCGAAACATTCAAACTTTAATGACGTATTTGAATATCAGTTTCGGTCTTGCGGCTTTTTTTTAGGCAACTTTAGAGTCACGTCTTGGGGAAATTAATGTTTGCTAGCTCCCAAAGCCAAAAATTGCCAGATCACTGAACGGAGTTTGGTACTAGTTTGTGTCTAAACAAGTAGGACAGAACGGATCAGCTAATTAACGTAGCTAACCAGAGATTACAAGGTGGCTGCACCTTCAGAGCAGTCAAGCAATATTAGCTAGCTCATAATAGCTGGTCTAGTTCCTCCACATACATGATCAGACAGTCAGTTGGGGTTTTTACTCGTTTAAGAAGTTTTGTTTGTATAGTGGTAATGCTCAACATAGGTCATCTCAGGACACAAAGTCAAGGCTTTACATTAACATATTATAAAGAGAAACCCAACGAAACCAGTGATTCCCTTTGAGCAGCACTTTGCAACAGTGATGATAATAATAATAATTATTATTATTATTATCATTATTGTTATATTTTAAAAACCTCCCCTTTTACAAGGAAGAGACCTCCAGCAGCAGTGAGCAAACAGATAAGAGACAAATGAACACTGGGGAATTTGATGAAGCCAGAAACTGCAGATCAGAAACATAACAAACCATAAAATACAAGAGAGCAAAGATGCACAGTTTGTGGCATACGATGGTGGTATTTAAATGTTAGGACAGTAGAGGAGAGTTACTGAATGGGATGTCCTATAGCAGCATAATTAATGGATGGTACAGGCTGGGTCACGTAAGCCAGCTTAAGTATAAGCTATATCAAAAAGAAAAATTTCAAGGCTAATCTTAAAAGTAGAGAGAATATCTGCCTTCAGAACCCAAACTGGGAGCTGATGCTACAACAGAGGAGCCTGATAACTGAAGGCTCTGCTTCCTATTCTGCAAGAACTACAAGTAAACCTGCAGTTTGAGAGAAAAGTGCCCTGATCTGCTCTTTAAGATAAGATTCGTGCCCAGTTTATTCAAAACCGGGTCTTTTTGGGACTCATTGAGTGTTTCTCTTAATTTATCAGCCATTACACTTGGGTATAACCAGCACTGTGAACAATAATACGACTAATTTTTGTAAAGATTATTATTACACAATTATTACAGCAATGAATTTAAAAGAAGATTGGTCATTAAAAGTTTTCTATGTGAGAAGCAGGATTTTGAATTCTGTTCTGGATTTTACTGGGTATTAGAGATTTTTTAAAAAGCAAATATGGTAGAAATATGATCTCTCTCACTGGTTTCTGTCACAACTCCAGCTGCAGCATTTTGGATCAACTGGAGGTTTTTCAGAGTGTTATTGGGACATTTTGATAATAGATAATAACAAAAGTCCAGCCTAGAAGTGACAAATGTATGAAGTAGTTATTCAGCATTGCTCTGACAGGAGATGTTTCTGATTTAGTCTGAACTCACTAAATATACAGTTTTCAGTTTGCTTGTGTTCTCGCTCCTCTGCATAGTCAGAACTCACTTTGTAGATGAGACAAACCACACGAAAACTAATCAGCATTTAAATAGAGCCTTCGATTAGATCTAGTTTAGTTTTCACTTCTCGTTTTTGCTTCTTGTTTCCAGCTTCAGCTCAGACTAAAGCCGGCTCCGCCATGCCTCAGAAGCTGCAGAAGAACGCTCAGACTGCTCACTACATCGAGCTGGGAGGCTACCAGTACTGGCCGGTGCTGGTTCCCAGAGGCATCAGACTGTACACCTACGAACAGATCCCGGTGTTCCTGCGGGAGAACCCCTACATCACCGATGGATACCGAGCCTACCTGCCCTCCAGGCTGTGCATCAAAAGGTGAGCAGCGGAGAAAACGGTTGTGCTGGTTTATTTTAAGTTTCTTTATTAATCTCCAAAAGAGAAAACTCAGGGAAGGTCCAACTGTAGAGCTTCACCTCTGAATGTTTGATGCATTTTTTTTTTTACTTTAAATCAGCATTTTTGTCTTCTCAGTCCACACTGAAACTGCAAAACCCCATTTTGTCTGTTTGTTTGTTGCTTTTCTTTACAAATACTTCCTAAAACATTCCCTGCAGATTCCATTTCCTTTATTTAACCACTGATAAAGACGTTTGATTGGGTTCTTTCTGGTTCTGGAGAGCGACAGAAGCCCGTTGGTCGGCTATAATTGCTGTGCGATTGTTTTCAAGTTTGTCGATCATCTGTGCAGCCTCTTCATCCTGTCCAACGAGACGGTGAATATCTGGAGCCATCTGCTGGGCTTCCTGCTCTTCTTCTTTCTCGGGATTTACAACATGGCGTCGGTGCTGCCGGCCGTCGGCGCCTCCAGGGACGACTACGTCATCTACTCCATCGGACTCTTCTGCTTCCAGGTACGGTGCTGAGCTATCCTCTTTACATCCGCATTTATCAGAAGTATGTGGCCAGTTTGCATGTTGACGTTGACAGTTAGGTGATGCCGACATTTTTGCGATGCCTTCTACGTCTCACCAGTCGCTCATTTGTCACTTGATTGGGTTGTAGTGTATGTTGAATATCCGCCAAATTGTAACGATAATGTGCAACCAAGCAGTCACAATGGATTCATTTCCAAAATCAGTGTCTCCACTATCTTTCATTTTAAAACTGTGTAATGTGAATATAGTCGTATCATGTCTACAGGTTGTTAGGTGGTGCACAAAAAACTGACTGCCACCGATCTTTTCAAATGTAGCTTCAGAGCTGAAAAATCCACTTTTTATGGAGTCTCGTAAAGTGTTTAGTGAGTGAAGATATCACACAGAGACAGAAGCTTGAAGTCAACTTAGCTGCCTATGAGATAAAACCACTAAATGTGACATTATAATCAGAGGAAAGTACAAAAAAAGCTATTTTCAAGAGTATCTGCAACAAATATTAACAATTTCCCATAAAAATACGTTTCAAGGAATTTAAAATAGGTGTTTCTGGGGAAAATACACATTTACAATGTGTTTTGTTCTCAGTTCTTTAGCTTTATGTAGTGAGATCTGTCGCTGTTAGTTTTTAATGTACTGCCAAATAACATGTAGATATCGATGGCTGGTTAGAAAGTCACTTTGATTACTGTAACACATTCACATCATTCTCTGGGTTTCTGTAAACGTTCAGCACAAATTTCAAATCAACTCAGTGAAAAATGAGCAACTGATGAACTTAAAAAAAAAATCCTGATGGAAACAGTATTTGGAGGAGGTCTTTGTAAGATCTCAGGAGCTTAATGGAAGTTTTTATGTGAATATTTTATGCACGATATGAACAGAGGAGTGTCAGGAAAGTTGGAACTAATTGACCTTCGTGCTTTTTGTATGGTTATTAAATGCAACACAAACACCTGTTTGACAGCGGTGCCTCTTCTTATTCTGCTGTAATGAAACGTTGAAATGTTGATCAACCTGTTGGCTCACTTCTGTGTATTTAATGATGCTAATAAATAAAACCAGTTTTGCATTGGCACAAACATGTCAGAGGAGAAGCCGGTAGTTGAGTTTTTCTCAGTGTAACAAACATTAGGTTCAAACACAGCTGTCACCTCTGATGTCCTTTAATCACCACATTGAACACTTCGTGCCGCTCAGAATGGTGTGAAAGGCTGCAGATTGTTTCATTTACTCGAGAGCTACAGATTTCAAGTTGATATTTAATATAATGACAAATCATTAAGTTTTGGGACCAAATTTCAGAAACTTCTTCAATTATTGAAAAAAAACAAAACAAACGAAACACATCACTAAAGATGCCTGAGGGTGCTACAAAGCAAGATTACTGTTAGCAGATATGTTGAGCCTAAAGGCAGATTTTTCAGCATCATAAAGGCGGCTCTCATTTAACCTGCTAGATTTCCATGGAAACAGATGCTGTGGAGCCATATCTCTATGGTAACAGAGGCCTTGGAGCTAGATCTCCGTGGTAACTGATGCTGTGGAGCCAGATCTCCATGGTAACAGATGCTGTGTAGCTAGATCTCCATAGTAACAGATGTTGTGTAGCTAGATCTCCATGGTAACGGATGCTGTGGAGCTAGATCTCCGTCGTAACAGATGCTGTGGAGCTAGATCTCCATGGTAACAGATGCTTTGGAGCTAGATCTCCATGTAACTGATGCTGTGGAGCTAGATCGCCATGGCAACAGATGCTTTGGAGCGAGATCTCCATGTAACTGATGCTGTGGAGCTAGATCTCCATGGTAACAGATGCTGTGGAGCTAGATCTCCGTGGTAACAGATGCTGTGGAGCTAGATCTCCATGGTAACAGATGCTGTGGAGCTAACCTGTTCAGAGTTTATGTTCAAAGTTTCAGATTTAGCGTCTCCCTTTAACCAAATCGTTTCCTGACTATTATTTATGAGCGATCCAGATTCTCAGCTGAAGGAATGTATTTTATCTGCAAACCTCTGGAGCTGTACGCTGCTTGTATCACTGAATGAAGCTGTGCAGTTACAGTATGGCACACTGTATACATCTTGTTACCATGGGAACCCGACATGTATTTAGTTAGTGATGCAGAAATCACATAAATGTGTTTATATATTTATATGTTATATGTTTGGCTCTGCTGGTGCTGCAGCTGATACAAAGCTGATTATTCTGCTGGTATTTATTACAGAGAATATTCAATCAATAACATTAATTTCACTTTGATTTGGCCGAAAATTAAAGTGATTTCCTGCATTACAGGACAGCACTTCTATACAAGATCATGTTTAAATATATGTAGTTTAAAGTTTAACAGCTTCAGTGTGCAGAAATAAGCAGCTGCATCAATCCATAAAATAAATACATAAACACACATTTAACAGTTTTCTTTCCTGTGTTGCATCATTTGCAGCGGCGGCGCTTTTTACTGTCATAAATGTTTATGTTCCTCATTGTTCTCCATTTAAACAACGTGTTGACTGAAGCAGCTGCACTCGATAGACGAGTTCGACGAGGCTTATTTTATGTTCTGTTACGTGATGATTTCAGATTAACCAAACATCTTTGGTTGAAACTGCATCTCTCTTAATCTGAGACCAAAACATCAGCTGATATTTGCAAATTAAAACTAACTGCTGCAGTTTCCAGTCTCCGGTTTAAAAGTTATCGGTCTGGTATAAATACTGGGTTTTGTAGCTTTAGTCCCTGACTGTTGGTTTTTGCTGCTCTTCCTCAGCTGTGCATGCTCTGCTCGGTGGGTTACCACTTATTCTGCTGCCATCGCTCGGAGAAAACCAGCCGCCGCTGGATGGCGCTGGACTACGCCGGCGTCTCCATCGGCATCCTGGGCTGCTACGTCCCCGGAGTCTTCTACACCTTCTACTGTAATAACGTAAGTTCAGCTGCAGCCTCGGGTCTCGTTTCTGATTAATTCATGCGTCCACGTTGTTTTTTAATAATCTGGTAGCATAATAACATAACAAATGCAACATACCTGGTTCTTGACATAAAGAGCTGCAGCGTTTAATCCTCATGTTGTCAACTATTAAATTAACTGGCAGCTATTTTAGTAACTGATTCATTGGTTTGAGTGATTTATTTTTTTTTAGATAAAAAGTCTAAATTCTCTGATTGCAGTCTCCTAAATGTGAATATTTTCTGGATTATTTCCCACTTGTTTAACAGTAAACTGAATATCTTTGAGTTGTGGTAAAAACAAGACGTTTGAAGACGTCGTTTTGGGCTTCAAGAAACGCCGATCCATGTTTTGACACTTATCCAATCAGTTAATTGGGAAAATAATTAATAGATACATCCACAATTGTAATAAACCTGTCTGCTTCTGTGCTGTCTGTCAAATATGAATTATAATGCAGAAAAACACAGAAAAGCCATTTTACTATACTAGCTAACAATGTAAACAAAGGCCAAAATAGTTTAAAATAAAATGAGGAGAGTGAAGTTGACATAAACATTTTTAATCTGACAGCAGTAACTCATCTTGTGGTGAATATCTGCAGGTGAAATATCAGCGTTTGCATAAAGACATGTGAGATAAATCAAAGACCAATGTTGAATTTAGTGAAGGAAGTGATGCAGTTTAGCTCTTTATCCGACTCTTCAGGGTCTGACCGGCGCTTTAATATTAATTGCTGCTAATAAATTTTCAAAAATGACGACGTTCACTCAAACATTCGGCTCTAAATCCATAAACAAGGTCAAAGTTAAACCAGCATTTCACTCGTTTGTCATCTTGTCTCCTAACGCTTCGCACCACGTCTCCCTCTGGAGCTGCATCCTGAAAAAAATCTGTTTAAAAAATGTGCTAAATGTGAAACGCGTCCCTCTGATCCTCTGTGATTGAGCTGAGCTGTAAACGGCTTATTGTTCGTCCTCGTGGAGTTCAGAGCTGCTGCAGTGCGTTAAATCCTGTTTCCACATGTTTCCTCCGTTATTCTTTTCTGTGCTGCTTTTCTAAACTCTTTGACCAACTTTTCCGTAGTTTCACAGGCTGCTGTGGATTCTGTTTATTGAAGCTTTATAGATTTCTGTCAATACAAAAGACATTTTTATTTTATTTGACTAAAGAAAAAGTCCTCGTGTTCTTTTTTTTTTTGTCTTACACAAGCAGCCTAAAGGCACTTATTTAACCTGATAATTGGACTGAATCCAGACCAACACGGTTTAATTTTTTAGGCAGGTTTTGTTGAAAGAGGAGATGTTTTTTCATTAATTGCACCTTCTAATCTGTAGTGGTTCATATATCCATCCAGAGCATGGGAGCTGCTAATGAGGTCCAATTAATACCATTTTCTCCGGTTCCTGATTTTAAAACACACAAATTTATTCGACTTTTATAGCTGATGCTGAGGCCACAGTGGCGTCTAACTTTGTCATTCAGCTGCACTAGTACGTAATGTAGGTGCCTTATTCGTTCTTCTTTTAGTGCCAAATCATAGATTTTAGGCGTTGAGTGTCGTGTCAGTCCTCACACACTGGTAGTTTCTTGTAAAAAGGAACAGAGGGGCAGATAAATTACTAAATAAATGATTTTGTGCTTTTTCATGAGGTTGAACTGGGAGTCAGTCAGTAAAACTCAGCTCTTCTTTGGTTATGTGAATTTGTTATGACTTCTGACTCCTCATTGCTTCGGTTTGGTGTCATCCACCACTCAAAATCAGTTTCTTGGAGATATTTAAAAGTTGTTTTTTTTTAGCATTTTACTTTAGGATGTCGATGCTCCGACAGCAGAAGCTCTGACGGCTGCAGTCTTTGCAATAAATGCAGAATTTTGGCTGTTTTGATCGTATTTCAGCGTTTCCCAGTGGCTGGTTAAGCAGCGAGACTCATGCAGTCCAGACAAGGAGGCCGTTTTGTGAAGCTACATTTTACAGATGTCCTCCAAACGCCTCACATGCAGACTATCAGCAGACGCTACAGTTTACTGAGGCTCCTTAAACGCCGACTACGAGGCGTCTGTGCACAAAGAAACCTCTAATTTTTCACTTGGTCGCTGCATCTCAGACAGGATAAGTCAGAAATGAGGTGTTCTAATGTAGATAAAGAGTGATTTTATGTACCTGAGCCAGTCGGACCAGATGATGGTCTGTAGCACGGGTGTGATTTATGGAAATATTGACAGATTTTTGGTTGCATGTGTGACCACTTTGGATCACGGTGGAGCTCTAAAGGCAGCAGATTAATGGATCAACTCAGCAAAGGTGGATTCTGGACCATCTCAGAATCTGTTGAACCTTTGTAGGAACCGTCTTCAGCATCTGAAACTGACATCTGCCCATTTTTAAGCTGAAAATACAACTTTTTTTTTCACCCAATAGAAATTTCCAATAAATTCCCGAGTTGGAAATTGAGCGAGATGCCACTTTGAGACGTCCACATCTCTTGAAGTATACGTCCCAGAGTCTCCACATGTTCAGGAGATGTTCAGAAGTTTCTGGTGAATGGAGAGAATGTAGCAAATTCTGGAAATCAAGACTCAGTTTTTTGCTTAAGACCTCCCAAATTCAGGGTTTGTTCAAAAATCGCAAATAAAGCGGACAGGAGTTTTATACAGTTTGTGAATCTGGACCTTAAATATTCTTTTTTTATCGAGTAGTTTGCGAACAATCACATGTGAAAGTCAACTTTTCTTCTGCAGCTCTGCTCATTTCCAGGTTACACATTGTTAAGACTAATTAAGCCACTTTTATTAATGTTATGTTAATTCAGTCATTTGCTGATACTCAGAACTCATCATGGCTTTATTTACCCTCAAATGATGAAAGACTGGATCAGTAATTTAAAAGGATTTCAATGTTGTCAAACCTCGACGCAGCAGAACAAATATTAGAGTTAAATTAAGGATGAATAATTGCTTTGAGTTGTCGTATAACAAGCTCAGCAGCTGCATCAGATAGTTTTGAGCAATTCTTTTGTCACACTTTTTATGTATGTATGTTTTTATTTTATTTTTTTTTATCTTGGTAGCTGGAAACATGCAAGAAGATGACAGTGAAATGATGAATTCCACCTCATGAGGAATTGACTGTTTCTAGAGTGAAACTGAACCGATGTGAATCTTAAAATAACTCGTAATGTGTTTTTGTGACATGTTTGGACCCATTTTGAAGCCGTTCTAGTTGGAATTAATTACTATAAGAGGCATAAGAGGACTTTTCTGATGAGAATTTATTCGTAGTGAAGACCAAAGTAAACTTTAAATGACAAAGTTAAGGATTTGAAGTGAATTCACTGCTCTTAGATGCACATTACAGTAAAAACATGCTCGTGCGTGAGTGTCAAACATCGATGTAACGTCGAAACAAAACCCTCCCCGGAGACTTAAATCCTTAATTTCACCTCATGAGGTCTAACGGATTGACTGAAATGTGAGCTTTTGAAGCTTTTGGACCCATTTGTGGCCTTTCTAGTTGGAATAAACTGCATGTTATTTCACCTAAAGCTTCAGAAACAGAACAACTGGACATTATATGATGAGAATTTCTTTGTACAGCTGCAATTTGAAAGTCAAAAATCTAGTTTAAGGAACAAAATTAAGGATTTAAAGTGAATTCACTGCTCTTAGATGCACATTACAGTAAAAACGTGCTCGTGTGTGAGTGTCTGTGCGTCGAACATCGATGTAACGTCAAAGCAAAATTGGTCGGTTGACTGAAATGTGTGTTTGTGAAGGTTTCAGACAGATTTTGTTGCCTTTCTAGTTGGAATGAACTGCATGTAATTTGGCTTGAAGCTTCAGAAACAGAATAACTGGACTTTTATGATGAGAATTTCTTTGTACGACTGCAATTTAAAAGTCCAAAAACTACTTGAAATGGCAAAAGTAAGGATTTTAACATGAATTCACTGCTCTTAGATGCATACTACGATAAAAACATGCTCGTGTTTGAGCGTACCGTCTAAACCAAGTCCTTCCCCGGAGACTTCTTCAGCTCAACATCTCGGCCCGAGGAAGCGGTAATTGAATAAAGCTGAAGTGCGGCCCGCAGCTTCTGCCTCTCCTGATTGACTCATTGTTCCCGGTGAATAAGCGACACGACACCTTCGCCGCTTGGAAAGCAGCCTCCGATGACACAAGCCAGTTTCAGTTCCTGATTCCAGCCGCCCACCACCGCGCCTCCCTCTCTCTCCTCTCGCTGTGTATTTATTTATTTCTTTAACTCCTGAAGTGTTTGGCTGCAGCTCCTTTTTTTTTTTTTTACTGCTCGCTTTCCCCCCTACGCATATTGGAAGCGCCGGGTTATTTTGCCCCCAGAACGCCGCTGAAATCTGCTCCAGCCCAAACCAGATGGCTGCGTTCATGGAGCGGTCCGTCACTCCTGTTCCCCACCATATGACGTTCGCGAGTCCGGGATTCGTTTCTGCTCGGCGACGAGGAGGCCCCCCTCCGTCCTTTTGCCAAGACTGGGGCTCCGCTTCTGGGTGGCTGCACTCCCGCGGCAAGCCAAGTCCCTAAAGAAAAACAGATTTTTATATTTAGCCAGTCAAACTCTTCTCGTCTAGAGCGTCTCGGAGACGCAGGGTTTTGGAGAGGAGAGTCTGCGAGGAGAGGGAGCTTTTAAAATGTTTTTTTTTTTTGGCTGCAGCAGAGCGAGGCCTTGTTCCTGGTGCAAATTTATTCACTGTGAAAATTCAGCAGGACTCGTCGCACGAGGACGTGTGACTGGACGGAGGCCTGCATCCGCACAAAACGGACAGAAGGGACCGAGACGAGGCTGTCCAGACTTTACACAGTTACTTATAGAAGTGGAAATAGCGAGTACAGGTTAGCTTTATATCCCAGCAAGTGGGAGACTCGCTTTTTTTTAAAACGAGGAATAAAGCCAGAAAAATCAAAAACAGGCTGCAGCGCGGATCAGACAACCTGAGGTGCTTTAAAATAAACATCAGAAAATGCTAATCCTAATTTTCCTCAGAGTTTCCCAAGGTGTCCTCGTTTGTCCCAAATATATCCTGTGATTAAAAACAAAGAGAGATAATTAATTTTCTGTCAATCAGCCAAGCGTTTGAGCACCAAAGCAGCTGAGTTTTAAATCTGAATGCAGCTCTTTAGTCTTGTGTTGCTGAGAGGGATTCCAGGAAAGTTTCTGCTACTAGTCCTCTGAAATACAAGTCGTTTCTGTCACATTTGTACTCACTGTTGGTTCATTTTTCACTGCAGCGTTAAGTCCTGCAGCTCTGTGGAGACAGAACAACCACAAAGAAGGAGAGAGAACTTTTTATTAACGTTTGTTTTCTTGTTTAGTTTTGTAAAAACTGAAGAAACCAGAAATCAAAATGTAAATTTTAACAAGTTTCCACAGATCAAAACTTTAAATATATGGAGACTCTCCATCATGACAGTATTTATAGTAAGATGACCCAGGGTCTGTCAGGATGCAGCTGCTAATGTGGTGGACTAATATGTGAATGTTAAATCTTGTTCAAAAGAGAATCATTTGGATTTTGCAGAAACATTTTTCGACCTGCTGATGTTCTGTTTGTTGCACACAGCTCCGACTCTTGTTTACCTGCACATTTAACCATGTTGAAAACCTGCAACACGTCTGTCGACCCTTAAAGCCGACCGACTGTTCGTAACCCTGAACCTTCCTCCTCCTGCAGTACTGGCGGCAGGTCTACCTGGTGACGGTCCTCGCCATGATCCTGGCCGTCTTCTTCGCCCAGATCCACCCCCAGTACCTCAGCAAACAGTGGAAGCAGCTGCGCTCGCTCATCTTCTGCTCGGTGGCCGGCTATGGCCTCATCCCCACCGTCCACTGGATCTGCATCACCGGAGGCTTCTCCTCCGAGCTCGTCCAGGTGAGCAGGACCACAACAGATTTTCATGCTTTGTTTTCATTCAACCTGAGCTTTATTGAACAAGTTACAGTCATTTCCGGACTATAGAGCGCACCTGAATATAAGCCACACCCACTGACTTCAGAAAGAATACAAGTTTTGTACATATACAGGTCGCACTTGTCTATAAGCTGCAGGTGTCCACGTTGTAACATGAGATATTTACATGGAAAGATGTTTTAAACTTTTAATTAAATTTGTACCGGTAACATACACAAATACCATAAATGCTTTTTTCCAAACAGTGCCTGTAACACTACTGGTTAAAAAAATAAAAAATTCAGCAGCCTACCAGGACAAGTCATTGAGCTCTATCTTCAGCTTCCTGCTGCACTAAAACCACTAAAGTCGTCCTCTTCAGTGTCGGAGTTGAACAGCCAGTACTCTCCGTATTGATCCAGTAAATACTTCTTCCCTTCAGGCTTTCATTCCTCGAGTGCTGGGGATGTACTTCATCGCAGCTTTAGCGCTCATTTTCTACGTCTCCAAAGTCCCCGAACGCTACTTTCCAGGTGAGATTACTTTTTTTTTTTTTTTTTAAATTTACAGCTTTTCACTGCTAGTTTTGTATTGTTATTTTTAAAAAATAGTATTCAGCTCCCAGAGGAGATAAAAGTACTCTGATGTAAGTAAAAGTACTAAAATCAGGGTGTAGAAATACACAAAAGCACTCAGATTACTGAAGTAAAAGAACAAATGTATGAGCATCAAATATACCTGAAGTCCCATTACACAGTATTTCTCCTTCATTATATGACTGGATTATAATTATTGTTGCTTTAATGTCTTCATCACTTCATACTCAACATAAAACTGATTTTATTGACTTTATTTACTGCTGGTTTGTTATTTTCTATGAATCAGTACATTTTTTAACGTAATAATAATAATTCATAGTTTATTTGCTGGTGTGTTCTGTAATGTTCATCTGAACAAGCAAAGTAACTACAAACAAATGTTGTGGAGTAAAAAGTAAAATTGTATTTAATTACAATATTTGAGTAAATGTACTGTTATTGAAATTATTAAAAACAGATTAATATAATAATAGTCAGAGAAGTGCTCATAAAAGGCTTCATTTACATGAAAACATCAACAGAACTTGCTGAGCTGTGTCATATATGGCGTTAATAACGGGGTCTCTTAGTGTTTTGCAGCCAGACGAATGTTGTCAGAGTTTGTGTTTTGTCGTATCTGCAGGTCAGCTCAACTATCTGGGCTCCAGCCACCAGCTGTGGCACCTGCTGCTGGTCCTCATGTTCTACTGGTGGCACCAAACGTCAGGCTTCCTCATGACCTACAGACACAACGAGCCCTGCCCCGACGGCCCGCACCAGTCCTGAGACCAGAGTCGGCTCAGCTGTGAGTTCCTGCAGCGACACTTCACTGCAAAGCTACACAAAGATTAGTTTGTCTTAATGTCACTCTGAAGAGCAGAGCTGGAAAAGAGTGAATTTCTGCAACCAAAGCAGTGGATCTCTACGAACATTAAGCTCCTGTTCTGTAAAACAGCTACATTCATGTTGAGCGTCCACACGTCTCCGACACCAGTTATGTCTTACAGCACAGCAGCTTTAGTTATGTAGAGGTGAAATGACAACAACTGACGCTGAGATCTACAGCTGGAACCACAAGTTTACATACACGGTATAAAAAAAACAAATTCTCTCTCTGATCATTCTGGTGTTTAGCAAATAGAAATAATGCTGGTAATCCTAACTGACCTGAAATAGGAACAGTTTAGTCTGATTTAAGGTCAGACGGTGAGAAAAAAAACAAAGTTCTGTTTGTTTTTATGCCGTGTACGTAAACTTCTGGTTTCAGCTGTGTATAAACATAGCAGCAGTTAGTTTTCTGCTCCGTTCACGTACAGATGTGTAACTTAAAACACAAATTCTGCAGCTCTACACAAATGTCGCACAAACTCTATTACAACATAACTTCTGCCATGTTTGCCAGCTTGCTGCAGTAGAAAGGTGCTACTGAAACGAAGCCACACTCGACATAAACAAGGCAGAAATTATGTTTTATTATCATTTCTGCTCCAAGTCGTGTGGACGCTCCACATAAACGTATTAAAAGTTAGTTTTCCACTTTGCACACGTTGAGCCTCTCGACTTGAACCGTGCTACGATCGGCTTCTGAAGCTCTAAACAAACCACATTAAAACATAAGTTTATGTGGAGCGTCCACACTGTTTCAGCATCAAAGTGGGACTTTAGGAAACGTTGCTGAACTTGTTTGACTTGAAAACTCGTGCGACTATTACGTTCGTTTCGGGCGTGTTACCAAGAACTGAGGTTGTTTCTGAAGGGAGCTGCTTCTAAAATGAAAATGTGAATAAGTGAAGCCCCAGACATCAGGCTCTAATCCACTGTTTACAAGACTGGAGACGACTTCTGCAGCAGCAAGTTTTTAGCTCTTTTGTCCTCGTTCATATTGATCCTAAGTCACTGCTGTACAACATGAAGCATCTGGAGGTTTTCTGGGCTGTGCAGATGTGAATAAGAGTAAAGCTGGATTTAGTGTCCTAAACCCTCATGAGCACTGCTGTCCTACTGCATCAAGTTTCTTCAAGTGTCGAGCAAAAGTTTTACTGAAACTACTGCACCGCAAAGAAGGCTAGAAGAACCGATGGAGTCTGTGCATGGCTCGGTGAAGCTGTTAAATGAGAAAGACACAATACCAGCTCTTGTGTTTACATCACAAGCAAACCACATCAATCACAGCCTGGGCCATGTTGTTAAACCAACATGTGGCGTGAACACAGACGATCACATCTGATTCAGTTAAAAACACAAGTTTATGTCAAGCTGTGTAGAGGTGATTTGAAATGATTAAGCCTGAAGTTGTTCTATATTTGACCTTAAAGTTTTATTTTTGGTTTGTGCGGTTTCAGGTTCTAGCCGTGAAACTTTATGTTTTACACTTGTCACCATGATCTCTTTTGTCAAATGAGGCAACGCGTGGACAGACGTAAACCTAAAGCTCCGTCTAAACACAAGAAACTGTACCAACACTTCTGGTTATGATCACTACATCTCTTTATCATGAACCTGTTTCTGCATTTTCTAGCTCAGTGGAGACGACACGAGTTCATCCGACGTCACGGATGAACTCGTTCTTACCTGCGAGTCTCCGACGAGGGAGGAAACCGACGTAGAGGCTGCAGATCCAACGCCAGAGGTGACGAAAGTCGAATTCTGAGATTAAACTGTCGCCTACAAAACCGTGCAGCTTCGACTTTACGGATAAAACTGTACGAGCGTCAGGGCTGCTGGGTTCTTTAGTCACGTAGCATCTCTTGTCTTTTTTATGACGTATTTCTGTAAGTGCCTGTAAAAAAACAAACACACCATGTAGCTCCAGCTAGATTAACTCGTGTACAGTTTGGCTTCTAGAGTTAAACTTTTCAGCTGTGTAACTTATTTTTAAAGCCAGTGTTTCATATCTTCCCTTAAATCTGCTCTGAATGTAGCTCAACTTTAAAGTGATGCTTTTAAGACACTAAATTGAAAATTAGGCCTTCGAGCTTCCTTCACTGAAAAGATGAAATGTCCTTAAAAAGGGAATTAACTGAACGTGTTCGGTGAATGTGAGGAATCATTTTTGATGGACTCGTGATAATCAGTTTGTGGCGAAACTGTTCATCCTGATGAAAACAAGCAAAAACTGACATTCAGACAATAATGAAACACCAAAGACTGTGGAGGAACACAGTGTTCTACGTTTAGTGTTTGTGTTTTGGAGTGTTTGTTACCGCTGAGCAGCACGAACAACAGACTGTTGGTGAAACGTACCTAGTTTAGCTTCAGGTACTATAAGAACTTGATGTGTTCAAAACGGAGTCGGCCATCGAGAAGTATTCATGAGAACGTTTTGGTTCTGCTGATCGGTTCCAGATAAACGGCAAAAAGTCAAAATCATCTTAATTTAGCAAAAGCTGCGACTAAATGCTTTAGAGGTGAGACTGGACTATCGTTAAGGGAGTAAACCTCAAAATATAAAGCAGAAAAGAGATCACAGTCGCTACAGGTGCTTTATCAACATTTGCTTATTTTAGCCGCTAACATTTACAGACACTAAGTTGCGTTTAAAATGTAAAGGGGCTTAATCTTTCCCCCTGACAGCAAACGCAACGCTGAGAGTTTCAGCAACTCCTCTGCTCTTCAATGCAGCTGATTAAATGAACTTTACTGCCTTTATAGCAACGCTTTGGTGCAACCTGGACCTGTAATTGTTTTCGTTCCTTAAACTATTTGGCGTTTGTTGACCCTGCAGGGTGTCAGACTGTCTGTGTAGCATTTACTGATGTTCCCTAAACGCCTCGTGTGTTTTCCCTTTAAAATTACGTCGAAAACTGTGAAATATGACGTTAAAACCAAGCGGTTTTACTGGAATCGATGAGCAGAATCTTTCAAAAACAAGCCCTAGTTTCTACTTTACACTCACAACTGAATGTTTTTTGTATTTTTTCTGCTTCGTCTCTTTGTTCAAAATAACATTTGCTGTAAATCAGAGCTGCACAGCTCAGCGTTCGCTGCTTTTCTGGTTTATGTTTTCTCTGTTTGCTGACAGAAAACACTAATGTTGGAGTTCTCTAACACTGATGCTGACAGTTGGCACAAAACCTACTTTACTGCAGGTGAAAAGAGGCAACAAGCAACATTAAGAACGCTTCTACTGATTTCTGATCACAAATTCATTGGAACATTTATTATTTTTTGTTCCCAGGCTGTTACTTCCTTCTTTGGTTACCATTTATTTAACTTTTTTTTTACAGAGCACCTATAAAAACATGAATCAACTTATTCTACATGTGGTTTATTTTGAGGTACGCAACAGTTATGTTTGACGTCGGGTCACGTTTTTGTTAAAGATTCAAGCACTGATTTAAACATGTGGCGTCACACTGTGCAGCTCTGATCGCTTTAAACACGACATCAGACTCAGTGTTCTGCCTGAGCTGAAAGGAGAATCTTCTGTCAGTAAACTCAGTATTTCTAGCTCATTTAGGGTGATGTGCAATGTTCAAGGTTGTTGTCTTTTGTTTTGTTTTAGTAGCTTGTCTGTGGAGGAGATTCTCAGTCTTACAGGTCAAAGTGACTCTTGAGGGTTTCAGTATGTGGCAGCTGGACTTCTTTATGGTTCTTGAAGATGTTCTACCTTCATCCAAGAGGCTTCCCAGGTGTTTATTGTCACCTGCAAGTTGTGAGTCGAGGTGAAACTTCCTGATACTGGTTTCACTTAGCGCTGGCTTCCTTTACTGTCTAGAAGGTAAATGCAGAGCTTCCAGAGGAGGTTTCACCATCATTCACACCGTTTTTCATTTGCATTTCCTCTAAATATGCTTCACGTTGCTTCCGATCCTGTGACCAGTTGGTGTGTTGCTCCAGTCCACTTAGAACTCTGCAGATGAAACAGGAAGTCGAGATGATTTGATGGACTCTCCAACAGTCTGCAGCTGCCGGTTGTGACGGTAAAACCAGCTCGAGTTGCTGCCTGTTGCTCTATACGGAGGCAAAACTTTTAAAAACGAATAGAAAAGAAAATGCCAATTAGGCTTTTTTGTATCGATGAATAAACTGATGTCAGAAAATGACTCTACGTCACACAATAAAGTCTGGAATAGAGTAGGAAATAAAAAAAACTACCACAAAAAAGAAAAGTAAGTGAGACAAAAATGTAGAGAAGACTTGTAATTGTTCTTTTATCGCAGCTGGTATCAGCAAGAAAACACGTCTTTTGAAGCTCACATTAACTGTCTCAGCAAATGTAAAGATTAAGTTTGAATTTTGCTGTTTCCTTTAACTTTTTTTTAGTTATTAAGCAGTTTTAATCAAACCCTCATCCATCAAAACTCGCGCTGCAGCTTCCAACAGTAGCAGCTGGAATAAACTGAACAATGATCCATAAACACACCATTGCTGCAGATTTGATCTAAACACCAACTGGTTCTGAATCTGAGGGACATCTAGTGAGGAAACGCAAAAGTAGTCCTCAAAGATAACTCCATAAACAACCAACAGAACCAATAAATAAAACCTGGGACTGATGGATGAAGGTGAAACATGGACAAGAACCAGCGAGCCCTGCTGCCTTCTACTGGATTTTAATGTCTTCATTCCAAAATGCAGCACATCCATGTTAGCGGAAACATTACAGGTGTTTCCTACGAGTCTTAAACACGAGTTGAGTGTCCAGTTCAGTGGTCTCATTTTGGAATGTTGTTTTCTGTGTGCTTATTTAATGTTTTAGACTGAGGAGAATGTTGTTTAAATTATTCGCGATGAACCTGCTCTGTGCTGCCTGTAACGGTTTCTCTAAAGCGTTTCGTGTTTGATGAGACGCATCGACTGTTTGTCTAAAAACTCATTTTGTAGCGGCGGGAAAATTTTGTAATTTTTCATACCTGAGCAATCGAACAGCGAAATAAAAAGAACCATGTACAGTTTGAAACGTGTGGAAGTGTTTTTGTTTTCAATTTTAGGACGAAGGTTTCAGCAGCATCTTTTCCAACCCGACAAATAGAGGCAGCAACATCTCTAAACCAAGACACAACTGACCACACAACCTCCAAGGCTCTGAGACGAGATTCATCAAGAACTTAAAAGCACATTAAACATAACAGAGGTCAACCCAAAGTGCTTTCCAATAAAGAAATAAGACAAACATTTAGACCCGAAAGAACTAGAAACCACATCAAACCCTACGAGAATTGTCCATTGAATGTCTATTTTATCAGCTTTAACCTGACATACCGACTTTTAAAGACTCACAAAACAGCAGCATCACCCATAACAAACACGTCTCCGGTTGGAAATACTTCACATTGCATCTAAAACTCCACTAATTTTAATCCAAAAGGTCCAACAAGCAAAACTGGCCCCAAGATGGAACCATGTTATCTTTCCATGACACCTTGGTTTTCACATGTACACCTACATTTCTTCTTCTAGTTTAATCAGGAAGTCCCTTGCGATCAAAATCTCTTTTTCAAGGGAGCTCTGACCAAGAAGCAACAAGAAATTATAAAATGACAGATCACAGTTAAACATCAAACAAAATCCAGTTTGCACTTGTCAGCAACACTTTTTTTTTGATCCGAGACATTACAGTGAAGGACAATAAGTTCAGGACCATGGCGTAAAATATCTGAGGTAGCTCTTTAGAGAGCCCATATTTAGAATATTTACAGGTTTCTAACTTTGTTTTAGGGATAGACTAGAACATGCTTACATGCTGTAATGTCCAAAAACACCTTGACTGACAGAGGAAGCTGCTCAAGTACTGGCAGAAAACTTCAAATGAGGTGTTTCAGGCGAGTAAGAAGCAGAGTTTTCTGTGGGACAACAACTGGGACTTTAAATTTGCAGACATTTTACTTGCACAAAAAGCAGATAACACACTGAAGAAAACAAAGAAACCCACACAAACCACTCAACCTAAACCCTGATAAGATGTGTCCTGCTGGGCATCTCCCACCTATTTCAAGAACAACGAAGGTTTCTACAGACAAAACCGTGTCACAAATCAACGTCATCTACATGGACAAACCGGCAAGCAACGACAGAGCTTCAAGAGAACAACTCTGAGCCAAAGGTCCAGATATGTGGTTGACATCTTGGTCAAAATCAAAACCCAACAAGTAGAGACCTTCAAGAACAGATCAACTCGATTCATTTCAGGGCAAACGAGCTGCCTTTTTCCGACTATGCAGTTCACATCGAAGAAGACGAAAGCCTCAGCGTTAAAAAAATGACTGGAAACCTCCACACACAGTCCAGCACTTGCTGTTTGACTCCCAACACCGACTGAAACATGAGCTGGAGGTTATCAAAACCTTCCAAAACCTGGCGGACAATGTGCCAACCACAACAGAGGTGAAAGAAAAGGAGCGTACACATGTTTAAAAAGCGCTCAAAACTGGTGGCATGAAGTCAACATGAAGAACAACATCAGCAATTGTTAGAAAAGCTTAAAAAGAGGAAAAACATGTGAGACAGAAACTGGTTCACCCTGAGAATAAAAACAGCCAAACAAAAGCTGAGCAACGTTGTAAATGCAGTCCGATGGAGTATGGAGCACACAGACCTATACGTAAAGGAAACTGAACAACAAACACAACAGGACAGGACTCAGCATCCACCTGCACCTAAAAGATAAACTCCTTTAAGGACAGCAATGTTCACATTCTAGACAGATAGTTTGAGAAACGAGAGAGGGTTTCGTATCAGATACTTATAATGCAGTCTTGACGTCCCTCGACAGGCAGTTTTGGGTTTTGAGTAACTGAAAGAACCAAGAACAAGTCCAGCTTCCTTCTGCAGGAGCACTTTGGATCACTGAGATGAAACTTTATTTATTGCATCCAACAGCAGTATAGCAGATAAATACAATGTCAGATTTACCCTGGTGGGAAAAAAAAGGAGGAGGATGGAAAATTATCAAACGGTTCCGATGGTTTCATTTGAACAGATGTGCCGATGGTTGAGTAGCTGAACGCAGTGCTTAAGGCCGGTGATGAAGAGGAAGAATTCGGTGCTGAAGAGTGTATTCATGAAGACAAATGACCAGAACATTACATCACAGATTGGATTTGAATGTTGTCTTGTTTTTTTCCCCCCCTTTATAAATGTGCCAGTTTACGTCACTGTGCAGTGGAAAGGCCCACGTTAAGGACCAAGTCTGGTGATTCATTTTCTTTGTCATCAAATCCCATGAAAAGACCAAACACTAATGAATTGATCCCATTTACAGGATAAAAAAATAAAAATAAAAAATCACAGCTTGATATAAATTAATCAGCTCCACTGTTGTCCAAAAAGTATCCCACATACAGTGTCCTGCTGCCAGTAGCACTGGACTCACTACAGAACCAAATGTTAATGAATTCGCCGCTGAAAATAGTCCCTGTTAAATGCACCGTTTCTTCCTGTTGGAGTCATGTGGTGCAGCTGTTTCACGAAACCAATGAAGTTTGGTTGAAAACTAAACACTCAGGACCTGTCTTTAAAGAAATAATTAGAGTTTTCAGTGAAAACATTTACTTTTTACAAAGTGAAAACTACTGCAGCCAAAGAGACTTCCTGTTGGGCACATGTAACTCTGAACGTCAAAATATTGGACAGAGTAGACAAAACCCCAAACAAGAAACGAAGACGAAAAAAGGTGAAACAAACAAAACTTTGGCCATCTACGAGAAAAAAAAGGAGAGCGGTCTAAAGATGTTTCATGCTGTCCAGAGGTGGAAGAAATCAGTCTCTTGAGTTTTTTTTTGTCGTTTTTTTTACCTTACGCAAGAATGAAAGTCTGTTATGGAAACTCAGGACGATGCCAAGAAACAGTGTGTTGCATAAAGGCCCATAGATTTGTCACCATTTAGTTTAATGTACAGCAGTTGCAAAGTTCACTCCATTAACGAGTTGCTACAGATGTTCACAGCATGTCCCGGCTTCTAGCCCTTATGCTAAGCTAACTGTTTCCAGACATGCGTGTGGTATCCACCTCCTAAACCACCTCCAAGAAAAAAAAGCGTAGGAACGACGACTCCTTTAAAGATCCTAGGAATAGCTGAACTGGACAGGATTGATATCGCCAAGTACCGAAAAGTTGCTGCTACCGGTTTTGGTCCTTTCATGGGACAATTACAAAAAATAAAATACCACCAGCGTTACCTTTCAACTGATTCCCACTTCACATGAAAATGATCCAAACTGCTGAGTTCACTTACATTGCAGAGAAAATAAGAGTACAGCGAATGATCTTCTGTTGGGGTTCAACGTTCACGAATGACCAGTGATCTAACCTTGTGTTTTATTTATTTCTTATTTCTAACAGAACATGTTGAGTTGCAACTTAATAGAAAAAAACAGAGAACATTAACAGTACTTACCTAGAAGTTTACTGCTAGGAAAAAAAAAAAGAGAACAGTTAAGAGCCTAAATTTTAACCTGACCCAAATTAACAGCTCCAACGTTTTTAAGGAAGTACAACAAAATTCGATCCCTTCTAGTATTCCGAGTGTAATGCGACAAAAATCACGACCACCTTTGGCTGCGTAAAAGACTACTGTGAAATTATGCATAGAGAAAGGTCTAATAAAAACAAAGTGGTTAAGGACAACTCCCAAATGATTTCAAACGACGCACCGGGCCAGTGAAGGCTGATGGCGTCGCGGTTTCCGAGGTACTGTGAAGCAAGGCAGGGCCGAGCTCAGGTAAGGCTTTGTGGTGCTAAAAAACATATTGGTAGATCAGAAGGCAGGCGGCCGTAGAGAGCTTTTTGAAGCAAGTCAAGCGGTCAAATGTTAAGCTTTGTAGTCACAGTACGATTTTTGAGTGGGTCTCCCGTTTTGTCTCGGTTCAAATGTCTCTATGAGCGTTAAAATGCAGCATAAAAGGCTTTTCAGCAAACAGGTACAGCTGAAAGATATGTGGAAACGCCGTTCACTCCACAGGATTCAGGTTTATGTAACTCAAACTAATTAAAATGTTCTTACAAAAGAAGCACATTGTTAGCTTGTCGTTCCAGGTTGAAAATGATCCCAAACCAAAAAAAAAAAAAGCTTCAGGGTTGTTTAACAGCAACTGGCAGAGCAGGAAGACGCAGGAAAAGTCACTGCTTCGAGGGGAAAGGTGCAGCTCCGAAGGGGTCGAGGTCCACGGGCTGCGACGGCGCCTGCTGCTGCTGAGGTCCACTGTGGATGACCAGTTCTGTGAAGGGCACCGCCCCGAAGTCATCCATGATTTTGCTCTCGTCAAGAGCACCATGAAGGGAACCCGTCCAGGACTTACCGTTGGCTGTGGCCATGTCGCTCTTGCTGTCGCTGAGGCCTTGATATTGGCTGTGTCGGCTGCCGTCCTGAGGATGGAAGGGTTTGGCTCCAAACGGGTCTAAAAGGGCTTCGTCCACCGGCAGAGACGCTCCTTTGTCCTTCCCCTCAGCCATGGTTATGTCCACACTGATGTTCTCCTTAGAGTCTGAGGTGCTGAGGAACTCGTTGCTGCTCTGCGAGTCTCTGCGGCCGACCTTCTTGTGTCTGCGGACTTTCTCGGGTGTGCGGTATGTCGGCTTGTTGCCTTTGCGCCCCCCAGTCGGCGTCCCGTGGTGCCGCTTGCCGTTGCTGCCTCCTGCGGTGGCCTCCTGCTTGGTTTTTCTCTGGCGTGACGAAAGCTTCTGGAGGCTGCGCTGCTTCAGCCTCTGCTGTTGAGGACTGGCCGACTCCTCATAGGACGACCGGAAGATGTCCTCGGCGCTTCTGGAGGTGGTCGGAGGAGGCACGGTGGGGCCCGGTTGGAAGGGCGAGAAGCCGAAAATGTCAATGCCCTCGGGGGATATGGGCGGCGTCTGGCCCATGGGGACGTCACTACCACTCTTGCCCGACTTTGAGAGGTTCCGGCTGAAGGGCGCTTTGGTAAAAACATCAAATTCGTCCCCAGTCGGCTGCTCGTGGCTGACTTGCCTAAAAGGCGCTTTGGCAAAGATATCCGAGCTCTCCGAAGGCCCGACGGGCGACGCTCCTCCGAGGAAGGGAACAGCACCGAAAACATCCACAGCCTCCACGGCTCTGGCGCCGCTGGGCGACTCAGGAGGGGTGATCAGGGTTGTGCCCGAATCCCTCCGAGGGCTCCTGGTTGACGCAGCTTTACTGCCAGCGGGTTTCTTGGAGCGATTCTTCGCCCTGCTGGGGTCGTAGTCCGAATCAGAGCTGTGCTTGTCTTCGTCCTCCTCTTCCTCGGAGTCCATCAGCAGAGGCCTTTGTCCTAAGTTCTCCGGCTCGGTATCATCGCCGTGCTCGCTGTTCAAGGCCTCATCCTCCTCCGCCTCTTCGTCCTCACTGCTTTTTGGCGAGGGCGGGTCAGACTCGAAGTCGCTGTCGGACTCATCGCCTGGTCTGCAGCCGCTCTTTTTACCGGGTTTGTGCTCTTTGGCCGCCGCCGGCTGCAGACTCTCTGCAGG